GCAGCGGCAGCGGCAGCGGCAGCGGCAGCGGCAGCGGCAGCGGCAGCGGCAACGGCAACGGCAACGGCAACGGCAACAGCAACAGCAACAGCAACAACACAAAAAACAAAACCAACACCAACACCAGCAGCAGCAGCAGCAGCAGCAGCAGCAACCGCAACCGCAACAGCAACAGCAACAGCAACAGCAACAACACAAAAACCATCAAAAACCAACACCAGCAGCAGCAGGAGCAGCAGCAGCAGCAACACCACCACCACCAGCAGCAGCAACAGCAGCAACAGCAGCAACAGCAACAACAGCAACAACAGCGGCAGCAGCAACAACAGCGCAACAGGGCAGCAGGGCAGCAGTGCAACAGTGCAACAGTGCAACAGCAACAACAACCACGAGAACCATCTGACTCACATGCCAGCCAACCGCGATTGTTCCAGTGTTGGACAGCTCTCCCGACCTTTAACAGGGAGTTGGCTCTGTCAGGGCGGTCGGCCTCCCATGCAATTGCTGCCTGCAGCTTCTTGCACAGGATGCTGCCCGGGTGCCCTACGTCCCTACATGGCCGCCCGCCGACTTACTACAGATCCCCCGCTAGCATCCCTATAAGTGTCCCATATCGGCAGATCTCCATGCTTCACCACCCGCGCAACCCGGAAGTGGGCAGGCTTTTTGCATGGAAGCCTGGTCTTGCTCAGATCACTGCACTTGTGAGGTTGCGCTCCACTTTGCACTCCCAGGAGCCCACGGTGATCTCCTGGCTTGCCAGCCTCTTCCAGGGTCAGCCAAGTGAAGCCCGCAAAGGTTGCCTTCTTTGCGCTCGCACTTTTGCACAGTCACGTGACCTGTTTCAGCATCTTGTACAACAACATGGAGAACAGTGTGCGTAGCCGGCCTTGTCGATGTACCTTGCCAGTCACATCTGGGCTCAACTCAAAGCTCCGCTACCATGCCATGCGCATTGTGTTTCAAGCCACAGACTGATTATCGCAAAGAAGACTCCACATGTTGGGCATTCAAGAAGCACCAATGTAGCACCCTCCTGAACTTGACAGGAGCCTTGGCGTTCACCCAACCTGTTGCCTCTGATGGATCATCCGGACTCAGTGATCCGCGCCGGGCATCGCGTGGACGAGACAACGGAAGCATTCTTAGGTATGCTTAGAGTCACAAAACGCCACCTGGACCGACGTCAAAGACAGGTTGCCTCTCCACAGAACTTTTTCAGTCAATATGGAGAAGCTGGTGCAGTTGATGCCCACACTCCTGATCCGCCACGAGGACTTGTTGAAGGCGGCTGCTACGCAAGATCAGTTTCTGATCTTTTGCGCTCGGGGAGAACAAGGAGCCATCCCCTTCTGTTGCGCCAAGCTCGGCAGTGGAACGAGACGTCGCCGCAGCAACTCGCGATGCCTCTTCGCTGCTGGTTGATCTAAACTCTTTTGGAGGAGCTTCAACAACGCTACGCCAAGTTCATGGAACAGGTGAACGACGAGCAGATCCGGAAGCAGGCGCTTGCCACGAAAGTGATCACCGCTGCTTGCGATGGAATCCCACCACTCGGCAAGCAGAGGTGGACCAGCAACCACCTCTGAGTCCGACCGAGGCGACCAATTGCCTATCAGATTTCACGCCTCAGCCACCAAGGAATCTCAGTCAGAAGTGGTACCATGGATGCTGCAGGTCTCGGTCAGAAACAACGTGCTGGCGATCTTTCTGAAGAGCCTTTGCCAGGATGAGGGAGCGCGGGACCAGCGCTCTCGAGTTTGACTCAACAGAGACGTCGCTCCTGGATCCACTTCAGCAGCTGAGGCTTCATCGGATTGGGCTTCTCCGGACTTTGCAGTTGGAGAACTCTGGCGATTGGTGCTACGCCAACGCCGGTTCCGTGAGCTTAATTTGGGCTTTGTTTCAGAGGGGCACTTTTTGTCTCGAGGATCTGGGGGGGCAGATTCTCGCTTTGGGCCGCTTTTTCACAGACATGGAGACTTCGGCCAGCATCTCTTTGGCGCAGACGCCTTGAAGAAATTGGGACCTCAAGACAATTTGCGAGTTCACTAACCAATCCTTGCAGTGGTTGAGCTCCCCGTCAATTTCTACGGCATGGGCACGGCAATGCAGCACTGACGCAGGGATCGAGCTGTATGATCAGGGTCACCAGCACCAACCGATCACTCTGGACCATGCATATGAGCTGGATCAAGACAAGTACACGCGTGACGTCTGCGTCCTCATGGACCCAAATGCTGGTACGTAGATAGGTAATTGGTGCTACCTGTGTTCTAGGTCACTTTGTCCACAGAGGTGCTGGTGCCCTGCTTCACCGGCAGGGTTTGGAGGTCGCGCGCCGCCCTCACATGGCGCCCGTGAATGGACATTTCCGGGCCGGGATCCGGGACATGGCGCACTGCCAACGATTGGTTTGAAGCCTATACCCTTGCCCCTCTTGGATGACCTCGCGAGGTGTTTTGATTTGGGCCATCCCAAAGTGTGAACTGCCTGCTGCCACTGACATTGGGCATTCCACCTGCGGAGGTGACTCGGTGGACACCTCCCGTGGCGCTTCTTGACGCCGCTATGGGACGCTCCGCTGTTGACATCGCACCGAGGGACCTTTCACAGGACTACCCTAGCATGTGTGCCCAAGCTCTGCCAAAAGCGCCAGCGTAGGACAGGATGTCGATGATGCACCCCGGTCTGCCCAGCATTTCTGGCGTCCCAGGGGCTTGAAAACAGATGCATCAGATATATTTGTGTCCTGTGTCCAGGGGCCAACACTGAATCCGGCCCACGCCCGCCGCTCCATCATAAAGCCACCACGCAGCACAGCTCCGACCCAGAGACTTGGGGAACAGAACTAGTGTCCGAAGACCCAGGGACGCTGGAAAGCCTCTTGGCCCGAATTCAAGAGGCCCACTCTCAAGTTGACGAAGTGGTGGTGGCAGCTGCGCCGTCCGCAGCGCCCCTTGCTACTGCGGTCTGCAGCTGCCTTCCAGCTGGCTGACGGCTGGGCGCGGACCTCGGCGGCCTGCAGCTGCCTTCCCGCTGGCTGGCGATGCGGCTGGACAATGTGAGAGCCTGACCAGCGCTGGCCCAAGCCTCTTGGAAGTCTTTGTTCATGACTTTGACCCTTGCGGAGGGTGGTCTGCTGGTGACGGCCTGAGTTCAGTTCATTGCCGCAGGGTGGCAAGCAGTTGGCGCGGCTGCTAGACTCACGAGAGTCCAGAATTTTCACTATGTCTAAGACGGCGCAACTCGAATCGAATCGAGCGCGTGGGAAGAAAAAAGTTGTTGTTGTTGTTGTTGTTGTTGTTGTTGTTGTTGTTGTTGTTGGTAGAGACAAAGACAAACGCCCTGTGGTATGATGCAGATGGCCACAGGAAGTGAAAAACATGAACGACCCGTTGGGCGATGGTTGTTTGTGGAAAAAAGGTAAGGAAGCTATCACACTCAATAAACTTATCCACCTGTTCGATTTCAAGAAACATAAAGCATGATCATGGGAAGCGCAACGTATTGTACTGGGGTACCACTGCCCACCGCGGGTCGTTTGTGTTAGACTCTTGAAGTAATAAGCGGCAAAGTGCATGATACGGTAAGAAAGGTTGTCCCCTTCTCTCTTTTCAAGAGACTAGCACCAACGACCCGTTGTAGGGTTGCTTCTTCGAGAACTTAGACGAATCGACCTGTTGGACTTCAACAAACATCAAGCATGATCATGGGAATTGTATGTGCTGGTTGGAGAACTTAGACTTATCCACCTGTTTTCTTGAAGGCTGCCACTATGATGTGTTGATCCCGAAGACTGCAGCTTGAATGTGTGAAAAATATGATCCAAGCTTGGCTGCCTGAAGGGAGAGGATGATGTGACTTAACGTTTGTTCGGTTGATGTATGTTCATCCCGTCCTAGAAGAGGCCTTTACAGACGACCCGTTGGTAGTCCCGTTGGTAGTTGTGTTGGCTGAGGGGGGGGTCTGGATCAACAAGGGGTCGTGTGTAAACGTCTCTTGAATCAAGTAGAGAATGAGCATGGGCACGGGGCGCCAGCAATAGTCGCTTCCTTGTTGTTGTTGTTGTTGGTGGCGGTGGTGTTGTTGTTGTTGTTGTTGTTGTTGTTGTTGGTTATTGGTTGTTGGGTTTTGGTTGTTGGTTGTTGGGTTTTGGTTGTTGGTTGTTGGTGGTGGTGGTGGTGGTGGTGGTTGTTGTTGTTGTTGTTGTTGGTTTTGGTTGTTGTTGTTGCGGTTGTTGTTGTGGTTGTTGTTGTTGTTGTTGGGTTGCTGTTGTTGTTTGGTTGCTGTTGTTGTTGTTGTTGTTGTTGTTGTTGTTGTTGGTTGTTGTTGTTGTTGTTGGTTGCTGGTTGCTGGTTGTTGTGGTTGTTGTTGTTGTTGTTGTTTGCTGTTTGTTGTTTGGTTGCGGTTGTGGTGGTTGTTGTTGTTGTTGGTGGTGGTGGTGGTGGTGGTGTTGGTGGTAGAAACAAAAGCAGTCGCCCAACATAATTGTCACATGTTGTTACTTCAAGGGGGCACGGTCAGGGATACGGTTGAAGGTTTGAGGCAATGTTGGTTTCGTAAGTAGGTGGACTTGTTGGACTTGTTTCACTGAAGTCTGGGCTGGTTCATTTTTAGTGTTTTTGAGGTGTTGTTCTGGAGGAGGGGCCCAAAAAACGACAACGGGGCTGCAGTCTTTGTTTCTAGGAGGGGGTAGGGACAACAACACCTTTTGAGGGGGGTGTCCAAAAACAACAACGGGGCTGCAGTTTTTGTTTCCGCCCCCTCGTAGAGACAAAGGAAGAAGATAATATGTTGTAACGGGGCTGCAGTTTTGCGTTGTTGTTGTTGTTGCTGTTGTTGCTGCTGCTGCTGCTGTTGTTGTTGTTGTTGTTGTTAGAAGCGAACACAGCCGCCCAACATAGTTGTCGCATGTTACAACTCTGGACCTTCAAGGGGGCAAGGTTAGGTTGAAGGCTTGAGGGAATGTTGGTTTCGTAAGTAGCGGGTTTTGTTTGGATTCACTGGAGTCTGGGCTGGTCCGTTTTTTGCGTTTTTGAGGTATTGTTCTGGAGGGGGGCCCAAAAAACAACAACGGGGCTAGGGACAACAACACCTTTTGAGGGGGGAAGGTCCAAAAAACAACGACGGGGCTCCAGTTTTTGTTTTTAGGATGTGGTGGAGGTTCCCAGTAAAAGGTTTACTACCGCTAGCGGTAGTTCTACTACCACCACTAAAGCAGAAGAACTACTACCACTGGCACTAGCACGGCTACCCCTAGCACCAGTACTACTACCACTTGCACTGGTGCCACTACCACTAGCGCAAGCGCATTGCTTTTACAAAATGAAGGCGCAACCGCTTTGAGGGAAAGTGAAAACACGAGGCCCCAATTACCGGAGGGCGGTGGAATTATTCGGGCCGCTTGCGACGACAACCGGCCGCGCCAGTAGCTCTCAGAGACAGGTAAAAGAAGTCTTCATACTTATAACCACTTTTTTCTCCAAACAGTGTGGACACACTAGGGGTTCTTACGGTAATAGAAAAGCAGCTGGGGCTTAGATCGCTGAGGCGCGCGGCCGTGAACGGCTAATTCGTTGCTATTTACAGTACATTCATGCCTCTCGACATCGTCCATGTGCACTTCCACTGCGCAGGCTCGCAGAATCTGGGGGCCGGCGGCAGGTGCTTCCACCGACCGCGCTCTCGTTGTGGCGCCGTGCGCATTTTGGTACACGGCGGTCAGTTTTCGTGGCAGGCGCAGGGGAAACCTCGTGGTTTGGTGCTCCGAAGTCGACTTTTCGTGACATGTGCAAGGGATCGGAGGTGAATTACTTCGAAATGCGGTTTTCGTGGCAGGCGCTGTCTTATTGGGAATTGCAAAAGATCTGGCTCCGTTAGAGGGTCTGGTGGTTGCCTTGTCGGCTGTGGTCGGCTGTGGTCGGCTGCGGTGCAGCACTTTGGACATGGTGGTGATCGTCGAGGAGCTCAGATTTCGTGACAGGTGCAGTGAGTCGTGACTTTTGGACATGTGGCTCGTTGGCAGATTTCGTGGCAGGCACAGCATTTGGTGAACCTCGAAGTACAGATTTCGTGGCAGGCACAGCACTTGGCAAACCTTGAAGTGCAGATTTCGTGGCAGGGGCAGCGCTTGGTGAACCTCGAAGTGCAGATTTCGTGGCAGGTGCAGCGCTTGGTGAACCTCGAAGTGCAGATTTCGTGGCAGGCGCAGCACTTCGTGAACCTGGACGGGCAGAATTCGCGACAGGTACAGAGCTTTGTGAATTTCGTGGCAGGCGCAGCACTTGGTGAACCTCGAAGTGCAGATTTCGTGGCAGGTACGGCAATCTGTGACCCTCGACGCGCAGATTTCGTGGCAGGCGCAGCGCTTGGTGAACCTCGAAGTGCAGATTTCGTGGCAGGCGCAGCACTTGGTGAACAGGTACAGCACTTTGTGAACCTCGAAGTGCAGATTTCGTGGCAGGCGCAGCACTTGGTGAGCCTCAGAGTGCAGATTTCGTGACAGGTACAGCACTTTGTGAACCTCGAAGTGCAGATTTCGTGGCAGGCGCAGCGCTTGGTGAACCTCGAAGTGCAGATTTCGTGGCAGGTACAGCAATCGGTGACCCTCGATGCGCAGATTTCGTTGCAGGCGCAGCGCTTGGTGAACCTCGAAGTGCAGATTTCGTGGCAGGCGCAGCACTTGGTGAGCCTCAGAGTGCAGATTTCGTGACGGGTATAGCACTTTGTGAGCCTCGAAGTCGCAGATTTCGTGGCAGGTACAGATTTCGTGGCAGGCGCAGCACTTTGTGAACCTCGAAGTGCAGATTTCGTGGCAGTCGCAGCGCTTGGCGAACCTCGAAGTGCAGATTTCGTGGCAGGCACAGCGCTTTCTGAACCTCGAAGCGCAGATTTCTTGGCAGGCACAGCGCATGGTGAACCTCGAAGTGCAGATTTCGTGGCAGGCACAGCGCTTGGTGAGCTTCGAAGTGCAGATTTCGTGGCAGGCGTAGTACTTTGTGCTGTCAGATGCTCACTCTCTCACTCTCCCACTTTCTCACTCTCACTCTCACTCACACTCACTCTCACTCTCACTCTCACTCACTCTCACACTCACTCACTCTCACACTCACTCACCCATCTCACTCATGCTCACTCTCACTCTCACTCTCACTCACTCTCACACTCACTCTCACACTCACTCACCCACCTTCAGTCTCACTCATGCTCACAGTCACTCTCACTGTCCCTCACACTCACTCTCACCCACACTCACTCTCACTCACACTCGCGCTCACTCACTCACTCACTCACTCACTCACTCACTC